TCAGTGTTGGGCGCCATCACGACCGGGATTAGGGTCGTGACAAGTTGGTATCAGAGCCTAGGTTACTAGGCCTCGCGAGTCATGAGCCGGTTTAGTAGAGTCTTGCGGAACGGTACGGGGACGCCTGTACTTCTCCTCGAGAGGCTGCAGAACCTTTAGGAAAACTTCCCATTCTTGGAATTCTTATCGTGCGTACTTGATTCAGCTTGAGATATAACTCTTGAAATTCCTTCCACACGTCTGTATGCGCATGTGAGCGCTCAGTATTATATGTGCCTTGATGGTTTGTGATTTCCCGATCGAGGGGCGAGATGTAATCTTCGTGAGTATGTTGGGCCAGCCTGGAGGACTTGAGGCCGGATCCTTGCCTATGGCTTGAGCACCGAGGTGCTGATTGTGTGAGCAAGTGTTTTGAACTTATATGTTCAGTATTGCCCCTATTAGCCGGAATGNTAGACAAATACCTGAACGTTGTTTGACAACGTGCTGCTTCAAGTGGTTCAAGAACTGCGTCCACGTCTCTTCACTTTCGTTGGCACAAATGGCAAAAGCTAGTGGAAATATTTGTCCATTGGCATCTACAGCAACTGCAATCAAAAGCTTAATATCATACTCTCCATAGACATGAGTACCGTCTATGGAAATTACAGGACGACAATGCACAAAACCATCAATTGCTGGTTTAAATGACCAAAATACATAGTTGAAAATATATTCCGGTCTGTCCGGACTCCGCTCACGCCTCCATTCAACAACAGTCCCGGGGTTAAAGTGTTGCAGTGCGGCCATGTACCTGGGCAGATTTGAAAAAGACTTATCCCAATCGCCATAAATAAGTTCAAAGGCACGTTTGCGACCGAGATATGCCTTTCTTTTGGTTATAGTACAACCATACTCCTGGTGGACGGCTGTAATACACTCTTTAATCTTGAACCTAATGGACACTTCCAAAAATGGAATCAAGACAAGGGAAATCAAGTCCACATCCAAGTTGAAGTGATTCTCATTGAATGTGTCCATTTCACATCTGTGCTCGCTAATAAATTTACCCACTTTCCACAAACCTGATTTCTTCTTTCTGGCACGCAGCATCCAGTGACAACCCATAAACCACCTACGGCATACATCCTTGTATTTATCCGTAGTTGACTCACTTACCGTCATCTCACGACACTCTCTTATACTGTAGATTTTTACAGCCCTAATTAGGCGAGCTTTATCGGGGAAATACATGCCCTTTGTAAGAACAGCTGGTCTAGATTCATCCCACATCACTGACCGTAATTCATCATCATCCCTTGTGAGGGCATCGACGTTAGGCATGCTTGGCAAATTATCAAGGTAGGGAATATTTCGCTCATGAAATGGCACGTGGGACTCATACACTCTTGGTCTAGCGGGAGGTGGAGGAACATGCTCCCTAGTCAGCTCAGGTTCAACATTCACTTCCTCCTCCTCATCATGGAAGGGTGTGTCATCCCCAGACTCATCCGCATTGTTGTCATAATCACTATCATCCTCCTGACTCTGCGCATCTGCCAAATCACGAGTAAAAACGTCGTCTATGGGCAACTGTGTGAGGCCAGGAGCTTCAAGAAGCTCGTTTTCACTGCACAAAAAGAACAAATACATAAGTTACCCAATACTCAGGAAAAATACTTTAGATATCGCTATATCACTTTACTTACAAATCGTATTGTCTTGACGTTTCATGATGGATATTTTCATGTTGGTAATAACTACCAGATGGACCACCGTGGTCCATTACTCCAGACCTGCCAATATTCCAACTAGGGGCGGGGTCATAACTTGTAAAATTCAAATCCGGACAATACCCCCTATAAAAAATATGAGTGTTAATACAAATCCAATTAAAACATGAAAAAGAAATCGCTAAAACGTAGTAAAATTGAAGTTTACCAGTCGTCTTGTTGATTATATAAAGTGGAAACATTATTTCGTGGCTGCTCATTCGCCTGCGGTGACAAGTTTAAATCAAGGCAAGCTCTTTCATCTGCAATCTGTCCGGCAAAAGCTGCTCCAGAATAACCACCCGATGACTGGGGGTTATCCCTGCTATGCACGCCCTCATTACTAGGAAGGTCCTCCACCTTCACGTACATTTCCAATAATTTTATTACAATAAATTCCCTGTATTCGTCCGGAATCCGCAAAAAATCTCGAAGAGTTTCATCATCCTCGATGTTAAACTCAGAATAATAAGCAAACCCCTGCGGAGTCACTGAATAAGGAAATCTACTGGTTACTTTAAGGCTAACCGAACGCCTCCGCTCACTCATTTTTTTACGTAACAACGATACCAATGTATCGCACTCCATATTAAGCGGCAATTTAACATGACACTGTGGAGGTGAGCTATACCTCACAGAGTTATTTTCCACCACAACCTCACCCCCCCAATACAGTGAAACCCTTATTTTTGGCACTTCAGACATTGTAAAAATTGATTGATAAGGAGAAGAGAGAATAATGAACGTATGTTTGAAGTTTAAGTGTTGAATGAATTTTTATAAAATTGAAACGTCTATAAATAAGGCAAGTCCGAGCTTGGGGTGTACAATTTTTCAAAGTAATTCGCAGTATTATACTACGTTTTATATATTTGAATTATTGTTATGTAAATAAATTATTGGTGGGGCCCATCTCAAGCGATTCGCAGTATTATACAGCGAATTGCATAAATTTTTTTTTTTTTTTTAATATTTCGCAGTATGATACTGCGAATTGTTTTAACGGCAAAATTTCCGTTAACCCGATTCGCAGTATAAAACTGCGAAGTACTCATTAATGTAACTTTTTTTTTAAAACATTAAAAAAGTGCTTTTTGTACAAAAAAATCGTTAATTAAGTTTTGGACTCACTGTTGACCAAATTCGTAAATAGCGTAACAAAACTCCCACTTTGCACCTTTGACTTCTTCTCTCTTTCTTTGAGGATTAGTGCCAATTTCTGTCAATTTGACATTTCTACTTTCGTTTCCCAAATATTCTGACTAGCTTGACTCAACTACTACAAATTCTCGAGAATGTACTCCTTTAATTATTGAGTAAAAAAAAAGCTTTTATAACAAAGGGATTGAGAAGTTATAGAAAGTTAGATTGATTTGATAGTTCTTTTCAAATTTAGCTAATACATCAGCCATTTGATTAATTTCCCTCAAGATGTGTTGTAAAACTAGGTTGTTAACATATAATCTAATAAGTATAATTCATGAAATATTAAATGTCATGTTAATGACTGATTTGGTGTCCATGCTTTTATCGTTATAGCATAAGGTGATGATATTTGGGAATCCTTTGAAGAATCAAACCATTTTCCTTTATTCTTTCCAAATGAATGCTATTCCTCTTTGACATGAATAACTAAGAAATTACATTCCGTTGGTATTCATTGCTAAATTCCACACTCCATAACTTTTATCAACAGCTATAAGTGTTTGATAAATGTTCAATTGGTAATTTGTTGGTACTCCATTAATAAGTTCTTCCATTAATATCGGTCGATAACAAGAGCGTAAATACCTTTAATTAAGGGTGCTTAATTGAATTTTTTTCGTCGTAAAAATTCTAGGATACAAAAATAGTAAAGGAATAATTTTTACATATATAAACTACACTGTCCAGTTCACGTAAACATACGGTGCAATAATGCAACAAAGACTCGAATATCATACTACTTTCCGCGTGATGTGAGACATAAGATTTTGACTTTATTCCCCCAATTCAACCTGCTTTTATTGTCTAACAAATATTGCCAAATGGAAGAAAATGGAAAGATATAAATAAACAAAACTTCAAACAATAATTTTCATTTCTACGGGTAGAAACTTAAGTTGTTACATTGTGTTCTGTAGTTACAGCTTTGAAGAGAATGAAAAGAGAATGAATTTTTGGAAATTTTCTGTATACAAAAGAATAGAATCTAGAGCCCGTTTGGATGGGCTTATTTTAAGTAGCTTTTAAGTCAAAATAGCTTTTAAGCCATAAGTTAGGATTTCTAGCTTTTGGCTTGTTTTTGTCATTTTAGCTTAAAAACAAGTGCTTAAAAGCACTTTTTTTACTTTATCCAAACACTACAAAATGGCTTAAAAGTACTTAAAATAAGCCAATTCAAACGGGCTCCTAGTCTAAACAAACTTTTCCAAGTGGCAGTATTTTACTAGCCTATTCCTACAGCTATTGTAACAGACTAAATGAATATTTACAAAAGAATGATTCTATCTACTATGTAAAATATCTCTTCCTATCTTCTGGGTTTGTCTTAGAATGGGCCAATGGAATAACTGAAGCTTTAAGGCCAATTTGATGTAAAACTAAGTCCAAAACAAAAGAAGTCCATTTAGAGTTAAGTCCAAGTCCAAAAAGGTCTGACCCATCCTTTCCTTAAGATATACACCCTTCTCAAACAAAAATCAAAACATAAGTAACCTAGCCGATTTTGTCTCCATTGTCTTTCTTCATACTTTCATCGGAGAATTTGAGAGAAGCTTCATTTATATTTCTAACACCAACACCCCCCCTCAAGTTGGAGGGGAACGAAAGGACCCCAACTTGTTCAAAAGATGGTGATGATCGGCCCTATAAGAGACTTGGTGAACAGATCTGCGAGCTGAGAAGAGGAGCGAACATATGAGAGTGAAATTAGGCCGGCGAGGAACTGCTGTCTGACGAAATGACAGTCAAGTTCGACATGTTCAGTTCTTTCGTGAAAAATAGGGTTTTTCGCGATATGAATAGCCGCCTAACTGTTCGAATAAAGAGGAACAGTAAGTAAAATTGGGATAGAAAGATCATCAAATAAGCGTACCAACCAAGTGAGCTCAGCCAGAACTCGTCTCATTGAACGGTATTCAGCTTCTACAGAACTGAGAGAAATGGATGTTTGTTTTTTGATTTCCATGAAATTGGGAATGAGCCAAGAGAGATGTAGAAGCCATTGACGGATTTGCGCGAATTAGGGCAAGTGGCTCAGTCGGAATCTCAAAAGGCAAGGAGCTGGTATGGAGGTGAGGAAGACATAAAGAGCCCAAGTCCAGGATCCTTCAATAAATAGCGGAGGACACAAAGTGCAGCATTGAGATGGGGCTGTCTAGGATCCTGCATGTACTGGCTAAGGTGTTGTACAGTGTAGGATAAATTCGGTCTTGTATGTGTCAAGTAATTTAGCTTGCCCAACAAATGGCGATACAAGGTGGGGTCAGGGATAGAGTCACCAGTCTGAGCAAGTAAGCGAGCACATGGGTCAAGAGAGCAAGAAACATGCGACTTGTAGAGAGAATCAAATTCCTGCAGTAAATCAAGGATGAACTTCCGCTGAGACAAAATCAAACCATGAGACTCTCGTAGAACTTCCATTCCCAAAAAATAATGTAAGTGCCCAAGATCCTTGATTCTGAACTCCTCATGTAAAAATTCTTTCAATGCAGTCAATTCCTTTGTATCATTCCCTGTTAGTAATATATAGTCGACATAGACTGCCACAATAGAGATAGATGAATCTGTCCGTTTAAAAAAAAAGAATAATCGTTCAATGAATGTGTGTATCCCTTGAAATTAAGAGCAGTAGTAAGCTTAGAATACCATTGCCTAGAAGCTTGACGAAGTACATAAATTGACGTCTTCAACTTACAAACATGGTTAGGAGAGGGTGGTGTAAAGCCAACTGGGAATTTCATATAGACTCCTTCGTTTAAATCACCATGTAAGAACGCATTGTTCACATCCAATTGATAAAGACCCCAACTTTTCTTAACTGCAACAACTAAAATGCATATGATGGTGGTCATCTTGACCACCGGAGAAAAGGTGTCATTGAAGTCTATCCCCTTTCTCTGTATATCACCTCCAACCCCCAACCTAGCCTTTAGCCTTTCGACACTACCATCTGATCGTTACTTCACCTTGTAGACCCATTTGCAAGGTAAAGCCTTTCTACCTGGGGGTAATTCTATGACTTCCCAAGTTTTATTGAGCTCAAGAGCAGTAATTTCCTGTTCCATGCTTCCTGCCACCCTGGTGATGTGCAGCCTGTGAATAGCTAATAGGTCCATGCATATTAGATAGAGAATTGAGCATATGTTGATTAGTGTTGGAAAGATTACTAAAAGACAAGGATGGAGGAGAGACTGGGTAAAGAAAACATGTAGTACTCACATCTGAGAGGTGAAGAGCATTACAAATGTAATCCTTGAGGTATGTAGGAGGATTGTGAGGTCTGGTAGATTTTATAATTAGAGTATCTACCATAGGTTGAGAAACATGTGAGGACATTGAAGAAAAAGGGGTACTAGAAGAGGAGCAACCTGGTGATGATCCAACTGGTAATGGGCTGTTAGGGAATAGAGTTGTACCAGGATAAGAAGTAGGAGAAGAAACAGTAGGGGTAGGAGAAGAACAAACAGTAGAGGTAGGAGAACTAGAGTATTGGTTGTCAGATCAAACTAAAGGTGAGGAGGAGTCTGAGTTTAAGGGAAATGAACTGTTCAATGTGGCTATTGGCAGATAAGAAGCCCCTTTAGAATCAGATTTGATAGAAGCAAATGGAAAAAATTCCTCATGAAATATTACATCTCTAGAAACAAAGACCTTTAATGTCTTCATATCAACCACCTTATAACCCTTTTTGACATGTGGATAGCCTAGAAACACACAAGGAACAACCCTTGAGTCAAACTTGGATCTATGTCTTGAAAGGGTGGAGGCAAAGCATAGACAACCAAAACATCTTAAATTAGAATAGCTAGGTTTGGTTTGAAAAAGGACTTCATAAGGAGTCTTGAACTTTAATACTCTAGAAGGGTATCTGTTGATCAAATAAGTGGTTGTGAGCAGGCATTCCCCCCAAAATGATATAGGTAAATGAGATGGAAACAATAGAGCTCTAGATGTCTCTAGTAAGTGCCTATGTTTTCTCTCCACAACTCCATTCTGTTGTGGATTGGACATACAACTGGTTTGATGTATAATCCCCTAGGAAAGAAAAAATCTGTTTGAACTAATCCAGAACCCAATTCAGAAGCATTATCTGATCTGATTATCTTAACTTTTGTATGAAATTGCCTCTCTACCATTGCTAAATAAGATTTTTACAAAGTGAAAGTATTTGACTTGTTACTTAGTAAGTAGGTCCAAGTCCCTCTACTGTAGTCATCAACTATAGTGAGGAAATATTTATAACCATCATAGGTATGATCCTTGTAGGGTCCCCAAGTATCCACATGGATTAGTTCAAAGATCTTTTTGGTTGATATAGAACTTGAAGGAAGAGGAAGCTTGGATTGTCTAGCCATAGGACAAATAAGACAAGGAGTAAAATGAGTAAAGCATGAAGGAACAGAAACATCAGAAATTTTCTTTATATTACTCAAAGTCATATGGCCTAACCTATAATGCCATTGCTTTCCTTTTACATTGGAATCAGAAAATCCAAAATAAGAACTAAAAACTAGAACAGAATGTAAACTCTGCCTAGGTACTGAAGTACTAGACTTAGGGAAACTTTTAAAAACTGGGGCTGCAGGTCTTGACTTGAGAATGAAGAGTCCTCCTTTCTCCTTACCAATATCCAGAGGGCTCTTTAGTGAAGAGCCCTGTAGCAGAAAACAAGAATCAGGAGTGAAAAGAATATACTATTGGAGTTGTTTGCATAAATTGTGCACAAACAACAAATTGAATCTAAAAGAAGGCACATACAGTACATTGTGCAAAACTAGGTTTGGTTATAATGCAACAGAACCTGAATGTGTAACTCTTACTCTGTGTGAATTAGGCAGATTGACCATGACGGGTTTAGGTAAGGCTTTATAGTTAATAAAGAAATTTATGTTAAATGTCATATGCTCAGTTGCTCCACTATCTAATATCCATGATTCACTATCAATCTGAATGAAACAGGCAAAGGAATTGAAACATTTGGCTATACCTGCACAACTCAGATTTACAGAGGCTTCAGAGGTTCCTGCACCTTGTTGTCCTATGTTGACCTATTGTAGATTGTAGAAGCTGCAATAATTGTGTCACATTTTCCCGGGTAAGTGACCGTGTTCCTGGTACATTAGTGTTTCCTTGGATTCCCTCTTCATTTCTGTTAAACACAGCATTTTCCTGTACATTCCCTTGAAACTTCCTCTGCTTAGTGAACTTAAAATCTGCACGAAATCCATAAATCCAATAGCATTTATTAATAGTATGCCCAGATTTTTTGCAGTAAGTACATATTCCAGCATTCTTTCTAGGATCAAAACCTCCCTTCTGTCCCTTATTTACATTGAACCTTCTTCCATTTCCTTATTGGTTTGTAGCAAGGAAAGATCCTGATTCTCCTGGATATGCAGAAGCAACATGAATCTCCCTATGCTTCTCATCCTGTATCGCCAGTGAATAAGCTTGTCCAATGGAAGGTAAGGGTGAAGACAACAGTATATTGCTCCTAACACCTATGAATATGTCATTCAAACCCATCAAAAACTGCAGCAACCTTTCACCTTGATGTGCCTCAGAATTCTTCACCTTAGCTCCACATTCACATTCACAAACACATGCTAAGAAAGTGTTCAAGGCATCAAGCTCATCCCATAAGCTTTTCATCTTAGTAAAATAGGTTGATACACTAGAATTACCTTGTACCGCAACACTAAGTTCCTTTTGCAACTGAAATAACTTAGCTCCATTAATTTGTCTAAATCTGTCTTTCAAATCACTCCACATGTCCTTGGCACTTTGAGAAAAAGAACACTCTCCTATCTCCTTTGATAGAGAAATGAGTAGCCCTGACAATACCATGTCATTACACCTTGCCCAAGTCTTTTGAAGTCCAGAATCAGCTTGTGGAATAGTAAGAGTTCCATCAATAAAACCAGTTTATTTTTTGCAGATAAAGCAATTACTACAGCTCTTCTCCATGCACCATAGCTTCTTCCATCAAAAACTGTGGACACAAGATTCATCCCTGAAAAATCCGAGGGATGAAGATAGTAGGGATGTGATGAATCAACCATTCTACTCATAACTGAAGCTGCTGGTACAACAGGGTCGACTGTGGAAGTGGCTGATGCGAGATGATCTGGAGTCTGTCCAGTGGTACTCATAGCTGAAGAGAAGAAAGTAAAAAAAAAAAAAAAAAAACGAGAGAGTCTTATTGGTGAAAACCCTCACGGGCGCCGTAAGACGAAGTGAGTTGAGAGAAATCGAAATGAGAGAGTCTTATTGGTGAAAACCCTCACGGGCACCGTAAGGCGAAGTGAGTCGAAAGAAATCAAAAATAGAGAGAGTCTTATTAGTGAAAACCCTACACGGGCACCTAAGGCGAAGGTGAGTTTTTCAGACAGGCCAAGGAAACAAGCCTGNTGTGTATTTCTCTGTACAGTGTAATCTATTTATACAAAAGAATAGAATTTAGTCTAAACAAACTTTGCCAAGTGGAAGTATTTTACTAGCCTATTCCTACAACTATTGTAACAAACTTTTGTAACAGACTAAAGGAATGTTTACAAAAGAATGATTCTATCTACTATGTAAAATATATCTTTCTATCTTCTAGGTTTGTCTTAGAATGGACCAATGGAATAATTGAAGCTTTAAGGCCCATTTGATGTAAAAAACTAAGTCCAAAACAAAAGAGGCCCGTTTAGAGGTAAGTCCAAGTCCAAAAAGATCTGATCCATCCTTTCCTTAAGATATACACCCTTCTCAGACACAAATCAAAACATAAGTAACCTAGCCGATTTTGTCTCCATTGTCTTTCTTCATACTTTCATCGGAGAATTCGAGAGAAGCTTCATTTTCATTTCTAACACCAACAAGCTTCGCCTTTCATTTTTTTTTTCTTTCTATAATGACGGTTTTTAGACGTTTATTACAAAGATAGATATAGTAGTTTGTATATGTATGTTGATATGAACTAAGAATTATATGGCAGATGATGAATTAGTTATAGGGATCAGAGTTATACGTGTATATTTTATAGTATTTACTAATTTTAGTATACGTGCAACGTACGTATGTGATGTGTCAATTAATAAATATACTTATATACAAAAAAGATAAATTATTGGAAAATAAACATTTATATCAAAATAAATGCAACATTTGCTTATGGAAATGATTTATATAAGATAAATAAAATTTTAAAGTTCTAAATATTAAAGCTTCCGACATGGTTCAAATAAATACATATTCAATAAATAAAATTATTAGTTAATTTTAACCTCCTAAATAAGTAAATATTAAAAATATTAACATATAAAACGGTTATAGTTTTGAAATAATTTAATAAAATATAATTTAACAACTTAATTTGTAGCATTTCAAAACAATTTCCGAGTATCGTAAGAGAGCCCCTGTTCACATTTGTAGCATCATGAACAACTTGACGTAACAAATCCGTTGATGTACCCAAGTTAAGGTGAGAAATTCAAAAATAGTCAGATTTACAAGTGGTCATTCAAAAATAGCCACAGTTTCAAAAGTAATCGAAATTTAGCCACTTTTCTTGTAAAGATAAATCTGAACGATAACACTGTTCAAAAAATCCAGAAAATACTCTAGCATAATATACTGGAATTCCAGTATAATATACTGGAGTTCCAGCATAAGTATACTGGAACTCCAGTATATTATAAAGGAGTTCCACTAAAGTATACTGCACTTCAAGCATATTATACTGGAGTTCCAATATAATCAGGGGCATATGCACCTTTAACAAAGCGGTATCACGCGACACCGCTTCGTTGGAAAATTTTACTAAGTATATGTATTAATACTGTGAGGAAACGGATAAGTAGGAAAA